TCCATGTTAGAAGGTATAATTACTAATATTTATAACTATGAGTATCATGGTATTCTATTGTTTTCAGCTGCACAGGTTAATGCTGTGCAATGATTCACAGCCAAGCTTTCCTTTTTCCTAGGAACAGTGGTGGAGCTCTTGAGTTTGAAAGAGCAAAGGATATAAGAGCCATTTTCTCTAATCTCACACACTCCCATAACATATCCACTTTGACCTTCAGGCAGGTTGTTATTCTATACGGGGGCGGGGGCGGGGGGCTTCAGTGAAGCCAGCCTACCTGAGGTATATTTACTAATTAGGAAAAAAGAAAAGGGAAAACATTCATGCTGCCTTCCTAGGTAACTTAGAGGAAATGCTAATTAACCAAGTTGTTAAAAACCCTGAGAGACTTTTCTAGTGGTCTTAGTGGGGCAGTAATCACAATGTCCGTTCCTTTATCCTACTCTCTTTTCCAAAGTAGGAATAATAACCTGGTCAGGTGGCTCAGGTGGTTAGAGCATCATCCTGATACGCCAGGCTTGCAGGTTGGATCCCCAGTCAGGGCACAGGCAAGAATCGACCAATGAATGCATAAATAAGTGGAACAACAAATCAATGCTTCTCTCTCTCAAATCAATAAGTAAAAGTTTTAAAAGTAGTAATAATAATAAAAAAGAGTATATTTTGTTTAATCTACACAGACTATGTGATTGTTTTCTAACTGCAGGGAAAAAGAAATACTTTTTCTTTACTTAATTCATTAAAATACTTGTATAAAGTCTGTGAATAAATATCCTTTGCTGAGATAAGTGACTTGTAAAGAGGGCAGGTCAGTTTTAAAAGGGAACTTTATTTTGGGTAAAATGCCTTGAGAGACTTTTAATGTGGTTTTGATTGAAGTCTACTAAGAATAAGGCAATCATTTTGAGAAACCTTTTGAAAAAAATAAAATCCCAGCTCAATTATATACCTATTTTTAGAGAGAAAACAAAATCAGGCAGTTTTTCTGGAACCTTCCTGATGGCTGACAGGAGGAGCACCATTCCAGGAATGAGACCTTTTAAAATGTTCAATCTCCCCCTTTCCTGTGAATGGACGCTTCATTAACCATAGAACCATTTGATTCTCAAAAAGAAGAAAATTGGTCCTAGGTACTTTCACCATCGTATTCTTGCCACATCATTTTTGCTGCAAACATTTTGCCCACATGACTAATTGACCATAAGGCAATCTTGCTGTATAAAAAGATAAAATAACTGGTTGACCGTTTGGGTTTTTGATTGTTTGGTTTCATTTCTGCATTGACGAATCAACTGTGTTCAGTGGACTTGATGTACTTAAGCTCGTTGTCAGTTTGGTTTCATTTCTTCATTGACAAGTTTTCACAGTTACTCCCATTATTATATTACATATAAATGTTGCCCTGGCTGGTGTTCTCAGTGGTTAGAGCATCTGCTCACCCACAGAAGGGTCTCAGGCTTGATTCCCAGTCAAGGGCCCTGGTTGTGGTGCATGCAGGAAGCAACCAGAGGATGAAGATGTGTCTCTCTCACATCAATGTTTCTCTCTGTCTCTCTCTGTCTCTCTCCGTCTCTCTCCATCTCTCTCCATCTCTCCCCCTTTTTCCCTCCTTCCCACTCTCTCTGAAAAGTAATGGGGAAAATATCCTCTGGTAAGGAAGAATAAAAAACAAATCTAACTTAGGCCTCATAATGGCCAGTGGTTCTCAACCCTCCTAATGCCGCGACCCTTTAATACAGTTCCTCATGTTGTGGTGACCCCCAATTTCATTGTTACAAATTGAACATAATTAAAGCATAGTGATGAATCACGAGAACAATATGTAATTATATATGTGTTTTCCGATGGTCTTAGGCGACCCTTGTGAAAGGGTCGTTTGACCCCCAAAGGGTTCACGACCCACAGGTTGAGAACCGCTGGCCTAGATGGTGATAAGCAGATAGGGTGGTGGAGATGGTCTTAAAATAGATGAAGATGATTTGCCCCAAGAGTTGGTTTCTCCTCCTCCTCCTCCTCTCCTCCTCCTCCTTCTCCTTCTCTTCTTCTCCTCCTTCTCCTTCTTCTTCCTTCTCTTCTTCCTCTCTCCTCCTCCTCCTCCTCCTCCTCCTCTTCTTCCTCCTCATTCTTCTTCTTTTGGTTTCTTATTTTGAAACCCATGACATTGGGAGGAGAGACACTGAGGGCCCTGTCTGAGGGTTCAGAGTTGAGCCAACATTTCCCACAGAACAAAGACAAGTGCTTAGATACAATCCACAAAGTAAAATCAGTTATCTGCACAGTATAACCATGAACCTACACACATTTTTAATGTATTCAAATATTTTGTATTTCTCAATAAACTTTAAAAAATGTTATGTCCTTGTTAAGGTCCCTCTTTTATTTTCCATGATTTTATCCTTTTTATGGCAAAATTTCCTTATGGTCAATTCCTTAGGTGGTGAAAGCGTTTGCAGTGAAAATGCTTGTGGCAGATATCTATGGCAAAGATGCTACAGGGACAATACCGGACATGGACAAAATCAATTACCAGCAAGCTTTGTAGAAGCCATAGAGAGAGTTTTATGGAAATGATGCATTCATGAAAGAAGAAACATTTATATGGCCTTCAAGGTCTTCCCTGGTTTTTTGGCCACTCAGCCCAGACATATCCAATGACTATAAATTGTTTTTACAGTATTCCCTGTGGTTCATAACCCTGATAGCTGTGACACTCCACCCCCACCCCTGAGTGTATAGAGGAAGGAGAGGCAGTGTTGGGGTGGGGCAGAGTGTGCCCTGGCCTTGGGCTTGGTCCGACTCTGCCACTCAGTGACCTGATGACCTGAGATGAGTCCCTAACTTCTGTGCTCTCGGTTCCCTCTGCTAGGACATAGTAATGTTAGATTGCATCATCTTTTAGGCCTTCCAGCTAGCAAATGCCCTTCATCTGACATGTGCAGAGTCCTAGACCAGGGGCGACCAAAGCCACATGCCTGCCTCCTGCACCTGGTACAGAAGCAGCCGCTCTCCCACTAGGAGGATCCAGTCCCAGGGCAGCAGCTTCTTTTTGAGTTCTAGTTGCTGTTGTAGTGCCTATTCTTTTTTTTTTTTTTCAAAAACAAGCTTCATGCCCTAACCAGTTTGGCTCAGTGGATAGAGCGTCGGCCTGCGGACTCAAGGGTCCCAGGTTCGATTCCGGTCAAGGGCATGTACCTTGGTTGCGGGCACATCCCCAGGAGAGAGTGTGCAGAAGGCAGCTGATCGATGTTTCTCTCTCATCAATGTTTCTGACTCTCTATCCCTCTCCTCCCTTCCTCTCTGTAAAAACATCAATAAAATATATTTAAAAATAAAAAACAAAAAAACAAGCTTCATAATTTTTTGTTGAATAGAATTTAAAGAATCTTACAAGCTTGCCCAGCCAGCATGGCTCAGTGGTTGAGCGTCAACCTATGAACCAGAAGGTCACGGTTCAATTCCTAGTCAGGGCACATGCCCAGGTTGTGAGCTTTATCCCCAGTGTGGGGTGTGCAGGAGGCAGCCGATCAATAATTCTCTCTCTTCATTGATGTTTCTCTCTGTCAATAAAAAAAAAAAATTTAAAAAGTATCTTACATTCTAGAAGAAAAATGCACCCTTTTTGCCTCAACATGAGGAAAAAAGGTATCAGTGGAATAACTGGTGTCTTACATGAAAAATGATATGAGGATACAGAGCAGCTTTAAGTGAGTAGAGAACTAGGAGGAAAAGCTTTTG